CATCCACTCCGTGTGCAGTGGCAGTCAGAAAAACCAACTGAATGTTAGGAGTCATTAATAAAGGGATAGAGAATAAGACAGAGAATATCTTATTGTCTCTGTATAAAACCATGGGATGCCCACATCTTGAATACTGCGTACAGATGTGGCCTCATCTCAGAAAAGAAATATTGGCCCTGGAAAAGATTCAGAAAAGGGCATAAAAATGATGAGGGGTTTGGAATGGGTCCCATATGAAGAGAGATTAAAAAGACTTGGACTTTTCAGCTTGGAGAAGAAGAAGCTAAGATGATAGAGGTCTATAAGCTCATGACAGTTGTGGAGAAACTAAGGAAAAGGTGATTTCTTGTTCCCATAACACAAGAACTAAGCGTCACCAAATGAAATGAAGAGGCAGCAGGTTTAAAACAAACCAAAGGAAGTTTTTCTTCACTCAACGCACAGTCAACCTGTGGAACTCCTTGCCAGGGGTTGTTAAGAAGACCAGGACTTTAACAGGATTCAAAAAAGTGCTAGATAACCATTGATGAACCTGTCTTCCATGACTCTGTTAGCCAGAAGGGATGGGAATGGTGTCCCTAGCCTCTGTCTGTCTGGAAATGGATGACAGGAGAGGGATTATGTGAAGGTTCCCTGTTCTGTTCCCTCCCTCTGGGGCACCCGGCACTGGCCTCTGTCAGCAGGCAGGACACTGGGCTGGATGGACCTTCGGTCTGACCCCGTGTGGCGCCTCATGTTCAATAATATGCTCTAATCACGAGGGGTTCACTCCAGCGCCCTGCCCAGGGCCAGCTCTCGGGACCCTTAGGGTGACACAATGAAGCTGTTCTGGCAAGCAGCCCCACTGCTGTGTCCACCCTGTGTTCCAGCCACCTGCGAGGGACCCTCCTTCACAGCCTTAAGGGGCCCAGCTGGCTGAGCAGCATTTTACATCTGCCAGGTGCTGCCTGAGCAAGGCGCTGAGCCCCTAGCATCCACGTGGGCCTCAGTCCTGCGGAGACCCAGGATTTCTGAGGCCCGAGTGCTGAACTGAGGAGCAGCTCCAGGGAAGTGTGCTGTACCGCAGGCGGGCGGCGGGGGTCACGGTGCAGGAGCTGGGCCTTGGGGGGGAAGAATCGATGCAAGTGCTGATTGGTATGGAACTCGGCAGTGCAGTCAGGTCAGTTTCTCCTTGCGGCGCTGCTGTTCACTTGATGCTGTCCCGGCAGGTTTGCTCTGGATTTGATGATGCCTCCAGGGCAGGCTCCAAAGCCCGTCCTTTGGGCTGCGTGTATTGCAGTTTGCAGGCGGTTGGGATTGCAGGGCTCTGTGTTGCTGGATCGTCTGCTGTCTGTGTGCTTAGATCAGTCGTAGCTTGGCACCCGCCTCTCTTCGCATTATGATCGTTGACAGGATGGGACAGTGCCCTGGAAAGGAATCAGGATTGTGTAGTAATCCTGTGCCCAGTGGCAAAATCCCCCCCACCCCCCTTTGCTTAGTGGGACAGGATCACCCCCTTAACGAGGCTGTTGTCTGTAGGGCCCCTGCCTCGCTTGTGGCCGGAGTTGAAAGGTGTTGTGAGTGCAGCAAGGGACTGCAGGAATAAAGCTGGGCCAGGTGGTTTAGGCAGCTGAGTGCTGCCTTGGAGAGTTGGATTAATCCCCGCCTCTGCCGCAGATGCTGGGCAAGTCACTTCTTCCTGGCTTGCCCCATCTGCTCACTGCCTGCGGCCCTCGCGGTCCGGTGCCCAGCTAGAGACTGGGAGAGCTGATTGCTGCGCCTCTCAGCTGGAGCAGTGCCTGGCACCTAGCCAGTGCTCCGCGATGCTCATTACTCTCGTGCCATAGACCCCTCACCTTGGGCACCCAAAGCACATGGGCGTGCTTGCCTTCAGTCTCTGCCTCAGTTCCCCCGTATAATGGGGCGCGCGCCCCAGCAGACATACCAGCGTGGTGGAGTTCAGGCCAATGGGGTGGGGGAGAGTTTAGCTACTGTCGTGAAGGTGCCGTGGGAAAGCCATTGGAACGTAACCAGTCAGCCTTCAGAGCAGAGCTTGATCCTGGTGCTGGAGATAAGGCCAAGGGCCAATGCTGAGCAGTGGAGATGAGACTGGATACGTGGCAGCTGCTCATTTAAATGTGGACTGACCATCCTGGGGCTGAACGAGGCAGGGGCATAGGGGAGGATGAAAGCTTGGCTTCGGGATCCCCCGGGGCCGTGCGGTTTTGAGGATGCCCGGCGAGGAAGGGAAATCGGATCTGCAGCAGACTCCAGGCCATGCATAGCGCCAGGCCTTCCCTGCTAATGCAGAGATCCCGAAGGGAAGGGAGAGTCCAGCCCCACCCAACTGAGTTCCCCGGGGATGCAGGAGGTTGGGATGCCCATGGCTCGCGGTTTGGTAGCCTTTCCCCTCCCCTCCAGCAGAACTGTCTGTTGCCAGGAGAAGGATGCGTCCGTTTGGCCCACGTCACCATGTTAGCTGGGTGTTGGTGTGAGGGCTTGGTCCCCCAAAGGCCCCCACCCTCCTCTCTCAGCTGGCTGCTTTTCTGTGCTCGGGAGAAAAATCTCCTGGCTTCATAACTTCAGTAGCTGCGCACTTCTGCCCGGGCTCCCTCCGGAGCTGTTGAGAGCTTTGACTAAATTGTATTGTCTGACTTTATTGATGATCTTGCAGAGGCACCAACGCAGACTGTAGATCTTCACTGCCGAGATGAGTGTTAAAACAGAAACCACTGGGCGGAAAGCCTTGGCTGTCCCCAGCACGGTGGGCGAGAGAAATCCCGATCCCCGGGAGCCAGGCGCTGTTCTCCGCATCGGATTCCCTGCTCCTGCTCCCGTGTTTGCCTAAATGGGATGATTGCACATGTACCTTTTGCGCCCCCCGACCCCCCCAACCCCGAC